GTGTCCTCTTCAATTTCTTTCAACAATGTTTTATAATTTTCAGTGTAAAAATCTTTCACCTTTTGGTTAAGTTTATTCCTGAGTATTTTATTCTTTTTGTTGCAATTGTAAATGAGATTGTATTCTTAATTTCTCTTTCTGCTACTTTGTTGTTAGTGTATAGAAACACAACTGATTTTTGTATGTTGATTTTGGATCCTGCAACTTGACTGTATTCATTTCTTATTTCTAAAAGTTTTTTTGAGGCTGTTTAGGGTTTTCTAGATATAAAATCATGTCATCTGCAAACAGTGACAGTTTCACTTCTTCCTTTCCAATTTGGATCCATTTTATTTCTTTTTCTTGCCTGATTGCTCTGGCTAGGACTTCCAATGTTATGTTAAATAAGAAAGGTGAAAGTGAGCATCCTTGTCTGGTTCCTCTTCTTAAAGGGATAGCTTTCAGTTTTTCTCCACTGAGAATGATATTAGCAGTGGGTTTGTCATATACAGTCTTTATCATGTTGAGGTATTTTCTTTCTATACCCATTTTATTTAGAGTTTTTATCATAAATGGATGCTGTATTTTGTCAAATGCTTTCTCTGTATCTAATGAGATGATCATGTGATTTTTATTCTTCATTTTGTTAATGTGGGGTATCACATTGATTGATTTTCAGATGTTGAACCATCCCTGCATCCCGAGAATAAATCCCACTTGATCGTGGTGTATGATCCTTTTAACGTATTGTTGTATTTGATTTGCTAGTATTTTGCTGAGGATTTTTGCATCTATGTTCATCAGTGATATTGGCCTGTAATTCTCTTTTTTTTGTGTTGTCCTTGTCTGGTTTTGGTATCAGGATAATGTTGGCTTCATAGAATGGGTTAGGAAGCTTCCCCTCCTCTTCAATTTTTTGGAAGAATTTGAGAAGGATAGTTATTAAGTCTTTGAATATTTGGTAGAATTCACCAGGGAAGCCATCTGGTCCTAGACTTTTATTTTTTGGGAGATTTTTAATTACTGTTTCAATCTCCTTACTGGTGATTGGTCTATTCAAATTTTTGATTTCTTCTTCATTCAGTTTTGGAAGGTTGTATGATTCTCAGAATTTATCCATTTCTTCTAGATTATCCAATTTGTTGGTGTATAGCTTTTCATAGTATTCTCTTATGATCTTTTGTATTTCTGAAGTGTCTGTTGTAATTTCTCCTCTTTCATTTTTGATTTTATTTATTTGAGGCTTCTCTCTTTCTTCCTTCGCGAGTCTAGCTAAAGGTTTTTCAATTTTGTTTATCTTTTCAAAGAACCAGCTCTTGGTTTCATTCACTTTTCCTATTGTTTTTTTTAAGTCTCTATTTCATTTATTTCCACTCTGATTTTTATTATTTCCTTCCTTCTGCTAATTTGGAAGCAGTTTGTTCTTCTTTTTCCAGTTCCTTTAGGTGCAATGTTAGACTGCTTATTTTATTTGGGATTTTTCTTATTCATTGAGGTAGGCCTGAATTGCTATAAACTTCCCTCTTAGAACCACTTTTGCTGTATCCCATAGATTTTGGCATGTCGTATTTTCATTTTCATTTGTCTCCAGGTATCTTTTGCTCTTGTTAGTGTATAATAACACAACTGATTTTTGTCTTGACTTTGTACCCAGAAACCTTACCGAATTCGTTTATTAGTTCTAACAATTTATTGGTGGAGAATTTAGGGCTTTTAATATTTGGGATCATGTTTCTGCAATTAGAGATCATTTTAATTTTTCTTTTCCAATTTGGATGCCTTTTATTACTTTTCTCACCTAATAGCTGTGGCTAGGACTTCCACTACTATGTTGAATAAGAGTGGTGAGAGTGGGCACCCTTACTTATCTTGTTCCTAATCTTAGAGGAAAAGTTTTCAGCTTTTCACTATTGAGTGTGATGTTAGCTGTGGGCTTGTCATATAAGGCATTTATTATGTTGAGGTACGTTTCATCTCTATCAAATTTGTTGACAGTCTTTATCATGAAAGGACTTTGAATTTTTCAAATGCTTTTTCTATATCTATTGGGATGATCATATGATTTTTATCCTTCATTCTGTTAATGTGGTATATCACATTTATTAATTTGCATATGTTGAACCATCCTTGCATCCCAGGGATAAATCCCACTTGATTGTGATGTATGATCCTTTTAAAGTGCTGTTGAATTTGGTTTGCTATTATTTTGTTGAGAATGTTTGTATCTATGTTCTTCAGGGATATTGGCCTGTAGTTTTCTTTTCTTGTAGCGTCCTTGTCTGGCTTTGGTATCAGGATAATGCTGTCTTCATAAAACGAGTTTGGAAGTGTTCCCACCTCTTAAATTTTTTGAGAGAGCTTGAGAAGGATTGGTATTAATTCATCTTTAAATGTTTGGTAGAATTCACCAGTAAAGCCATCAGGTTCTGGTCTTATCTTTGTTGGGAGGCTTTTGATTACTGCTTCAATCTTCTTACTCACTATTGGTCTGTTCAGATTTTCTATCTCTTCATGATTCAGTCTTGGTAGATTGTATATTTCTAGGAGTTTATCCATTTCTTCTAGGTTATCCTACTTGTTGGCATACAGTTGTTCATAGTAGTCTCTTATGATCTTTTGTGTTTCTGTGGTATCAGTTGTAAGGTCTCTTCTTTCATTTCTGATTTTATTTATTTGAGTCTTCTCTTTTTTTTCTTAGTCTAACTAAAGTTTGTCAATTTTTTTGTCTTTTAAAAATATAGCTTAGTTTTTGTGATTTCTTATATTGTTTTTTTCTGGTCTCCATTTCCTTTATTTCTGCTCTGGTCTTTGTTATTTCCTTCCTTATGCTAGCTTTGGGCTAATTTTTTTTCTAGTTCCTTGAAGTGTAAAGTTAGGTTTTTATTTGAGATCTTTCTTTTTCCTTAATGTAGGCATTTATTGTTACAAAATTCCCTCTTAGAACTACTTTTGCTGCATTCCATAAGTTTTGGTATGTTGTGTTTCCATTTTTGTTTGTTTCATGATTTTTTTTCTTTGATCCATTTGTTGTTCAGGAGTGTGTTGTTTAATTTCCACATATTTGTGAGTCTTCCAGTTTTCCTTCTGTTATTGATTTCTAGTTTCATATCATTATGATCAGAAAAGATACTTGGTATGATTCAATCTTCTTAAATTTGTTAAGACTTGTTTTGTGACCTTACATATGATCTATTCTGGAGAATGTTCTGTGTGCACTTGAGAAGAATGTGTATTCTTGTGCTGTTGGAATATTCTGTATATATCTGTATATGTCTATTAGGTCCATTTGGTTAAAGTATAGCTCAAGTCCAATTTTCCCTTATTGATTTTCAGCCAGCCCCCAGGGCCCAACAGCAGCACACAGGGGTTCAAGTTGGTGAAGGTGTCAATGTCCATGGAGACATTTTCCTATCCATTGTAGAAAGTAGGGTGTTGAAGTCCCCTGCTGTTATTATATTGTTGTTTTCTTCTCCTTTCAGATCTGTTAGTAGTTGCTTAATATATTTAGATTCTCCAGTGTTCTTTTAAATTGTTACAGCTTCTTGATGAACTGATCCCTTTATCATTATAAAATGACTTTCTTTGTCTCTTATTATAGTTTGACTTAAAGTCTATTTTGTCTGATATGAGTGTGGTTGTCCCTGCTTTCTTTTGGGTTCCATTTACATGGAATATCTTTTTCCATCCCTTCACTTTTAGCCTTTGTTTATCCTTAAAACTGAAGTGAGTCTTTGTTAGGCAGCATATAGTTGGGCTTTTTTTTTTTTTTTTTAATCCATTTAGCCACTCTCTATCTTTTGATTGGAGAACTTAATTCATTTATATTTAAAGTACTTATTGATAATGAAGACTTATTAATGCCATCTTATTGCTTATTTTCTGGCAGCTTTGTAGTTCCTTTGTTCCTTTCTCCCTCTCATGCTCTCTTCCTTTGTGAATTGGTGTTTTTCCATAGCGATATGCTTTGATTCCCTTCTTTTATCTTTTGTGTATCTTTATAGGTTTTTACTCTGTGGCTACTTTGAGGCTTACATAAAATATCTTATAGTTATAATAGTCTATTTTAAGTTGATAGCAACTTCAATTGCATACATCTACCCCACCCTGTTACTCCTCCCCTAATTTTGTTTTTGATGTCACAATTTACATCTTTTTATATTGTGTATTTATAACAAATTATTGTAGCTATAGCTATTTTTAATACTCTTATCCTGTAACCTTTATACTAGAGTTGAGTAATTAACACATCACCAAATTACAGTATTAGAGTATTCTGAATTTGACTATATACTTAGTTTTACCAGTGTGTTTTATTTTTTCATATGTTTTCTGTTACTAATTAGTGTCCTTTTTCATTTCAGCTTGAAGAACTCCTTTCAGCATTTCTTGTAAGGCAGGTCTAGTGGTGATGAACCCCCTCACCTTTTGTCTGGGAAAGTCTTTATCTTGCCTTCCTTTCTACAGGACAGCTTTGCTGGGTAAAGTATTCTTGGTTGGCAGATTTTTCTTTCAGCACTTGAATATATCATCCCACTTTCTCATGGCCTGTAAGGTTTCTGCTGAGAAATCCACTGATAGCCTTGTGGGAGTTTCCTTATATGTGAGAATTTTTTATTCTCTTGCTGCTTTTAAAATTCTTTCTTTGTCTTTGATTTTAGACAGTTTTGCAATATTATGTCTTTGATAAGATCCCTTTGGATTGAATCTGGGGACCTATGAGTGTCATGAACTGGAAGTCCAAATCTTTTCCTGGATTTGGACATTCTCAGCTATTATTTCTTTAGTTGAGCTTTCTTCCCCTTTCTGTCTGTCAGCCCTGCTAAGGATTCTGATGCTTTCTCAGAGCTTTTCTATGCATTTGCCTGCTCCACACTTCTTGTTCCCACTTGAGGGGAGGGACTCTTAAGATTGTATGCTTTCTCTCAACCCTCAAAGTCAGGCTGTATTCTGATAGCCTCCCATTTGTTTTCCCTAGGGTGGTGCTGAATGCTCAAGTTTGTGCACTTTTTCCCAAGCCTGCAGAGTCAACTTGCTTTCTATGCATGCTCACTAGTCATTTTTTCCTTGGAGAGGGCTAAACTACTGGGAGCCATCTTGGTGCCTGAGTCATAGCTGCCATTATGACATCATAGGTCTCTCCCCTCCACTTTTTCTACCCACACCATGGCTAGAGGAACATAGACCTGAGGGGATTTGAACCATCTGCACCCAATCCATGTGGGACCAGTGGTGAGTAAGAGAGAGACAGACAAACCATGCTTTTTAGAGATGTCCCTATAGATCTCTCTGGGTGAGGGAACCCTCTGACATTTGAATAATACTCTGGGAAACCCTGGAAGCTGGGAATATGTGGGATACTGGATGAAGTACGAGAGAGAGCAGCCTTACTCTTGCCTTTCCCTTAACCGCTGATTTCAGGAGAAGGACCAGCCTAAAAAAATTAATGAACACACTAAAGATGAGCCTCAGGAGAAAGGGGAACTGAATGGTTTATCTTCAGCACCACTGACCTCAGAGAAGAATATGGAGGTAGGAGGAGCCCTGACTTGGATGTCTCTGGTCCTTGTGTCTTAGTGCTTATGGCTAGTGTCTTTTGCATGGTCCAGAGCTAAGAGCAGGAATTAACTCATTCTTATCTGTCCTCTTTCATCATTTTGTTTTCAGGCTAACCCTATGAATATGGTTGAGACAAAGAGAGTGGATGATGCTAATAAGACCCCCAGAGAAGTATCACCTCCTCTCCGCATACCATACAGGGCTGGGGCTGGGAATATGGGGGCCGTGTTTGCAGAATGGAATGGCCAACATTTGGGAAGCTTGGCTTAATCAATATTGTGTGTGTGTGTGTGTGTGTGTGTGTGTTTGAGCTTGTACATCTATGTTTGCTTGTTAAGATTTAAAGTGTGAAAGTCAAGAGAAGTGAAGATGGGGAAGAGATAAGAGAGGTAGAACGTTTTGGGATGGGGGAAACTTTCAATACTATGACATGACAGAGGAAGAGAGTAGGTTGTGAATTGGAGCTGGAGTCAAGGATGAAAGGGCAGGATTAGCAAAGGATGCCACTTCTCCAGCAGATGGGTGGGATCTGAAGGGAAGGGTTATAGATCTTGGTTGGGAGTGCAGGCTCACGTGGAACATGGTAACCCTTTGACTCATAGATCATAGCGTTTGCCTTAGTCTTGCCAACTTGATCTGTGTAAAACTGGTGGCCAGGGCAGATGTACTCCCATTTTACAGTTGGGGACTCTGAGATTCAGAAGTCAACGTGATGTGTCCACGTCCATTAACCAGAGAGGGCTAGCGAAGACAACTTTTGGTCTTCTGGTTCCAGCCAGTGCCTTGCCCAGTGCTTCTGAGGTTCAGAAGAAGGGATGATTATTGATAGGGAATCAGAGTCTGTTCCTGGCATACCCTAGGGCTGAAGTAGGTGGGAAATATTTTCTGAATGTCTCCTCTTTTTTCTTGCTAGATCACAGGAAACCAAAATAAACCCCCTACCAGTGATCCGGAAGTCGTAAAGATCCAGGCCTGGTGGCGTGGTACGCTGGTGCGCCGGACGCTGCTGCATGCGGCCCTCAGAGCTTTGATCATTCAGAACTGGTGGAGGCAGAAGCTAGTGAAGCTGCTGGAGGATAAGCGGCGGATGGCACTGGAGACCTTTATACAGAGGGAGTGGGCAGCAGTCAGGCTGCAGTCCTGGGTCCGCATGTGGCGCATCCATCGGCGGTATTGCTGTTTGCTCAACGCTGCCCGCATCATCCAGGCCTATTGGAGGTGCCACTCCTGTGCTACCCAGGGTTTCATCAAGGGTCACTACAGAGTCACGGCCAACCAGCTGCATCTCGAGCTAGAGATCTTGCTGGGTTCAGAGCCTTGCATTGTGACGGAGTGTATTCCCCTCCCAATAAAAGAGTGAAGTGGTTTTTCCCCAGCCTCTCTCTGTTTGACAGGCTCCAAGACATCAGGGTAAATGATGGCAGATACTTAGACTCTCATATGTTAGTTCTGAGGAATCAGCAATGGCTGTCTGAGACCCTGAGTTTGTCTCAGGAGAAGGATTCTGAGCCTTTGACTAGACTGAGCAGAGACTGACTGATTAGCAATGTCTGCCATAAATAGGAAGGTTGGAGGTACATATCTGCCATGTTGGCCAACTCAGGGAACATCATTCATGTTTGGTCTATGTAAATGGTGTCTCTCTCCCAGACTGTGTATAATGCAAGCCTAGGGGAGTGGGGTTGGTAATGACAATGGCAGCGTATTTGCCAGGAATTTACCCACCTAGGTCTAGTTGCTCAAGGCTTGTTCTCCCACCCCCATGATTGAGAAGAGCCCACCCACCCCAAGCTCTGATTCTGGCTCCTGTTGGGCTGGCTCCCATACATGGAGGGCAAGGAGAGACCCAAGAAAGAGGTACTCCAGATTGGTAGGTAGCAATTTAATAAGCAAGGGAACTTACATATGAGGCTTGTCTTGGGCAGCTGCAAGACGAGTAGATCTCTGCACCTGCCCACCAGAATCTTAAAGGTATATGTAGAGGCCTTAACTGAATTCAGTCAAATATACCACCCAGATGGTCTCAACAATACATTGCTCTCTCAAGGCTGCATCCTTGAAAATGGCTCCCACTGTGGGAACAGTGGGCACAACATACATTCCAAGAACAAGGGAGGGGTGAGGAGCCTCTGATTGCCCGGGTCCAGCTTATAGGTCAACTGGCAGTCACATCCTCTCAATGACCTCCTCTAACAGCTCCCTGCCCAAATGGGGGCTATATCCTAATACTTGTCCTCCAAGTTAGAATTGAGACCCAAATTGGAAATTGTTAGAGTGCGTAGCCCCAGTCCTCATTCCGACCTCAAACTCTGTCTGTCCCTTACCCTCCTGCTCCAAATGGAGACTAGAACTCGTTCTCCTCCAGACTTGGTGGGAATGGGAGGTACCATAGGTGTGGGGATGAGGAAGGAAGGCATTCTGCTGCTAGCCAACCCTTGTGGTGAATGTCAGGCCCTAGGCTAGCACAGACCCAGAGCTGAGAAGGCATCGGCCATGTCTCCTTCACCCTCTGCCCAGGGCCAGTCTCTGCAAGGGCTGGTCAAGGTGGAGCTGGGACTTCTTACAGTCCCTTTCTGTGAACAGCTGCCACTTGGGGTGGGATTGGAGTCTAGGTGATGATTAAGAGATCAAGGTTCGTCTGTCCCTCTGCCCATATGGACACTGTTGTCCCACGGTTTCCTGCAGAGAGTGAGGGGTCTGAGGTCTTGGGTTATTCCCCATCAAAGCTGCAAGCTCAGAAGCCCTATGTCCAGCCCTGCTCCACCTACTCTACCCTGGAGAGCTGGTCCCTCAGCTCATAGAGGTTCTGAGATGCTACCCGGAGGTCTCAGGCTCCACCTGTCTGTCTTGCACTGGGGCATGATCTCTGTACTTCCTGCTCTTTTCCTCTGTGTCCTGCCCCCTGTGTCTCACTCAGGTCCTGGTCTCTCACTCTTGCTCTGAAGGATTTTTGTGTCTTCTCTCTTTGCCTCCTTTTCTCTTTTTTATTCAGTGCCTTTGAGCAAAGAGCAAGGACTTTGGAGCCAGACCAACCTTGGTCAGATCCCTGGCTCCCCCACTCACTACCGTGTGGCGGTGGAGACATCATTTTCCCTCTCTGAACCCCAGTTTCCTGAGCTGTGAAGTTGGGCTAATGATCCTCATCTTTCAGTGTGAATGTCAAGGACCATAAAAATTCAGCATCAGCAATAAAATGAGGAAAAAGGTCACATCCACAAACCTTAAAAACTGGCAGCCAGGGAAAAACAGCAATTTATAGGATGGAGTGGAGTGGACCCCCAAAACATATCAAAGTGTGCTCATCATTATTGGGATGCCACTGGTCCCAGGCCTCTCAGTGGACAGAGCTAGGGAATATATGTTTATGCATGTACACACATTTATATCCATGTATCTCTCTATCATCTATCTACCTTTCTATCATCTATCTAATCCGTCATCTATCACCTATGTTGAAGTGTATGAGTTCACACTGATACCTCAAATCCCAATCTAAAATCAAAGAATTCACACATAGATACAGAGATCAGATAGGTGGTTACCAGAGGGAGAGGGAGCAGGAGGAGGGCAAAAGGAGTAAAGAGGCACATGTGTAGGTGATGGATGGCAACTAGACTTTTGGTGGTGAACATGATGCAGTCTATACAGAAGTCGAAGTATAGTGACATACTTCTGAAATTTATATAATGTTATAAACCAATGTGACTTCAATTAAAATAAAATAAAAGCATTCATGCTAGTTTCTCCTCTACCTTCCGATTCCAAGATTAAGACATCTGGCTCCCATTGTCCTTAATAAATTATTTTCTTATTTGATCTTCCCTGTGTGTAACTAATCTTCTATAGCAGTTGCTGGCCTCTTTCCCATGCAGACACTATCCTCAATCTGCTTGAGCTCTGACACCCCACTGGGCCATTACCCTCTCCATATAGCTCAGAATCTGGCTTGCCACATTGGTTGCTGTCCTATGTGAATATCTCACCCAACCTGGGATGACATGAAATGTCATGGTGCCCTCTGCACAGATACCATCCTTGCTGTGCTCAAGTTCTGGTTTCCTACACCACTAAGGATGCCCTCCTCTTCCTGCACAAGGTACCCATTACTGCCTTGACCTTGGACCCCCATGTTTGGACTCCCTCTTCACCCTGCCTGGGTTCTGACACTGTGAAAGCAGGCCCCTGTGTGGATTCCTCCTTGCCCTGCCTGGGTTCCATGCTAGGCAGCCCTCCTATGCCAACACTTTCCTCACCCTCTTGGGATTCACAGCCCTCTCTGAGCTTGGTGGCTCTCTTCCCCCCGAGGTGCACCTACATTGCACTGCCCAGCTTAATGACTTTCAGACTGAATTGTTCAGGAAGGGAAGGGAAGAAAATGAAGGAAAGGACAAGAGGAAACTAAATTTGCAATTAAAAAGAGTAGAGACAAACCATCTGCAGAAGAAAATTGTCAGTCACTAGATAAATCTGCTTCAACATTTTCATCCCAAACCTCAAGGAAACATGACCATAAAGAAACCTCAGGGGCCGGCCCCATGGCAGAGTGGTTAAGTTCGCGTGCGCTGCTTTGGCGGCCCAGGGTTTCACTGGTTTGGATCCTGGGTGTCGACCTAGCACCACCCTTCAGGCCACGCTGAGGCAGCATCCCACATAGCAGATCCAGAAAGACCTACAACTAGAATATACAGTTATGTACTGGGGTGCTTCGGGGAGAAGAAGAAGAAGAAAAAAAGAAGATTAACAACAGATGTTAGCTCAGGTGCCAATCTTTAAAAAAAAAAAAAGAAACCTCAGAAAATGTCCTTGAGAAAACGAGTCAAAATATCTGAGCACAGGCTCAGGTCTTCCTCTCTTGGTATAAATTCATAGGAATAACAGTGAAAGAATATATTTATTTAAAAAATCTCTAATAGTACCTAAAAAATTTGGGGAGAAGACTTCAGTGAACAGAAATTATGCAGACTCTTTAAAGGACAGAAGGCAGATGTGAAAAGACTGAAAGAAAAGAAATCAAAACTCTAAAAAAGTCTCATGCAAAAGTAAACAGTGGCCATGAAGTCCCTCCAAGCTCGGAGGCAGCTGGTCCAGGGGCAGCAGGGTCTGTGGGCTACTGCGGGGGCTAGTTGGAGAATTCCTATAGGAGGAGCAGCAGACTCTCCAGTTGAATCATGCAGTTGGCAAGAGAGGGCCTGTCTCCAGGGAGGGACTGTGACTGGCCTGGGGATGTGCTGCAGGGTCCGGTGCCATGTGACACCCTTGCACAGGAAGACCCCCGCCCAGGAGACCACCCACCTCTGACAGCCAACATCTCCCCTGCGGTCTGTGGAATCAGGCACATGGCACTCATCAACAGACAAAGAAGAAATCTCGAAACAAAGATGAGCACCTACCTGAGAATCACCAAGCTTTGGAGGAAACCAACAACATGCTAAAGCATCCCTAAACTCAACAGTCGGAAACATGATGGCCAAGGGGAAGACTAAAAAGGCAATTTAAAGAAGTGAAATTAATATTCTCAGTGAGTGGGAGGAGATATCTCGGCCATGAAAGAGCAAACCATTATTAAAAAGAGCCATTTATGGATCTTAGGAACAATGTTAAAATTAAAACCTGATAGATGGGATGAATAGCAGAATGGACGTAAAGTGCAGATTAGTGAGTGGAAAGTTTGACATGAGGAATCCTGGAATGTAGCACAAAAAAGCAGAGAAAGGAAAAGGTTAAAAAAAAGTAAATAAAAGAATGAAGCATCAATCCTGAGGTTCTGAATTACTGTTTCTGAGAAAGGAAGGACAGAGATGGAGAGCAAGAACATTCAAAGCATTAATGAGTTTCCCAGAGTTTAAAGATTGCCTTAAAAAGGTGAAGGAGAACAGATGGAGCTCCAAACAGGTCATGGCACAGTCTCATAACTGATAGAGATAAAATGCTTACATATTTAAAAAGAAAAAAAACCCAACAAACTACCCACTAAGGAATGTTTCAGACTGACACCAGCCTTCTCAGCAGGAACACTGGGTGCAAGGAGAAAGTGGAGCGACATCCTCAATGCTGAAAAAAAGAAATGTAAGCACTGAATGATGTACCACCTAAAATGTCATTCTAAGTGTAAGGGCAAAATGAAAGACATTTTTATTAATTCAAAGACATTTTTATTAATTCAAAGTTTACATCAAAAGTCTCTCAAAATATTTCTGGGACGTGAACTCTATGACAAAGAAAAATGAACTCAGGAGAATGACACAAAAAGTAGTGCTGAGTACAGATGCCAGTAAAATTTATTGTTACAAACAAGATTTTCCACAAAAAATTATTTATACCCACATGTGAGCTTGCTGGAGGCAGTGGGTGAAGAAAAGAAAATTAGGCTGAAGT